AACAACAACACTATTTTTTAAAACTACGAGAAATAATACAAGGTTTGTGTTAAACTCTAATAGGGGTCAGGTTCCAACAAATTGTTAGATGCCCAGTGAGTTGGTTCCAACTCACAGCCACGTGCAATAGAAACACTGTAGGGTCCTCACAATCGCTGCTGATGCCTAAGTCCATTGTTGCAAACACTGGGTCTATTAATTCTGTGGAGAGTCTTCCTCTTCTCTGATGACATTCACGGGCCCTGATAGTATGTCTCTGCTTTCTAAGGTGCGTTCTGGCCGCACTTTCAAGACAAACTTGATTGGTCTTTTGTCAGTCTATGATATAGTTAATATTCTTTAAGAAGATGAGGAAGTGTGGAAAATCCCCCCTCCAAACCCTCAACAACGCACCCACAAAGCGGTAGGAGGGCGGGCATATGTAAATCTCACTTCTCGTCTTCATTGACAGCACTATGGCTTCCCTTTTTGTGAATGAGCAGTGGTCCTTAGGCCTTTCACCCTTTCACTATCAGTGAGAAACATAACTTTACAAATGGAATTACTTTTAACGAAGCAGGTGGGTGTTTAAACCTAGTGGAGAGGTGGAGCGCCTATTGCAACCACGTAAGGGTGAGGGGGCCACTTAAGGCTCTAGAATAATTTCTAATAAGAGATCCCGAGAAAAGGTCTTTTTTTTTCATACAAAGGCAGAGAGTGCAGGGACTGCTCCTCTCGTATCTCATGTGGCCTTTACCGCCCGAAGGTGGCGAGCTCGATGCAGGGAGACAAGAGACCGCGCGGGGACTATGAAGGACTCTGCTTGGCCCCAGCGCCGATCCCACATGTGCGCCGTCCGCAGCGAGGCGGGGGCGGGGCGGAGGCCGCGCGCGAGGTGAGAGGCGGGGCCGCAGGCTGGAGGCGGGGCCGAGGTCTCGAGGCTGAGGGGCACGGCCTCACCCCCGGGGCGGGGCGCTAGCTGCGCGCGCGCGGGGCGGGGCGGAGCGCGCAGCGTGGTCCGGGGCTGACCAGCGCTCCTCCCCCTTCCGCGCCCTTGGCCGGCGGCGGGCGGAGCTCTTCTCCTGCCTCGTTCGCTCTCGTTTCCCACCCCCGCCCCTCCGCCCAGCCGTTCCTCCCTCCCTCCTCCTTTTCCTCGGTGAGGCGCTCCGGTAGCAGGCAGCATGGCGGCCGTGGAGACGCGGGTGTGCGAGACAGACGGCTGCAGTAGCGAGGCCAAGCTTCAGTGTCCCACCTGCATTAAGCTGGGCATCCAGGGCTCCTATTTTTGCTCGCAGGTAGGCGCTGGCTTGCCCGTGGCGCTGCCGGCGAACCCCCTCCACTTCCCTGCCCTCGCGCTCTCTGGACGCGCTCCTCCTCTTCCTCTGGCCAGTGTGCTGGCCGCACTTCCTCCTCCCCCCTCACCTCGCAGCGCCGCGGCCCCCTCTAGTCTCCCGAGGTCCCGGGCCTTTGAGATTGAGACCGCTCTGAGCACCGCGTGGGGGCGCGGTCGGCCACGACCATGTGGGTTGGGGGCGGAAATGGACTTAGTCCAGATCGAGGGGCCAAGCCGGGGTGTTTAGGAACCGGTTCCTTCCGTGCATCCTTTGCCCTAGCGGGAGCTGCCAAATATAATGAACACCTGGGGCAGGTGGGAACGCCAGGAGAAGGGGGCAAACACAGCTGTGCACATCGGAGCTCCTGGCGGGGTTCTGGCCTGTGCCCTGGGTGCTTTGGAAGTGGGTAGGCACTTTGGGTCAGGCTAGATTGAGTTGCAGAAGCTGGGCTTTGACGGGTGGGCTGCCTGGGGACGGCTTGAGACGCTGGAATGAGAAATGCCAGGGCCAACCCCACTTCTTTGTGTTTTACTATGGCGTGTTGACATGTAAGCAACTTTCGGGACGGAGAGGGGTCTCTCTAATTCATTCTTTTTATTTGACAACTAAAATTGCTAATTTAGACAGTCATCACTTAACGGGATGAGTCACCTCTCTGTTACTCAAGTTCGTTCTTTTTGAGTGGAAAAAAAAACCCCACTTAACCAGTTCCATTGGGGAGGGTTATACTTTATGGACATATAGTGCATTTTAGTAAGTTTTGTGCACTGATGCAAAGCCAGTTTTGAATGGGATCCTGACTGAAGCGTGTTTATGTTTGCTGTAGAGAAGTACTAGTGTTCGTGCTCCATTTCACACTCACATTACTGACCGGGCAGCAATAGCATGGCTTTTACTTTTAGCCGAGGTTTGTGGAAGAGAGGTAGTGTCCTGAGGATAGAGGAGCATGAGCAGAGTTCAAAGGCCTGGTTAGGCCATTTATTGTATGATCTTGAAATAGTCATATTGACCTTTCTGAGCTGACTCCTTCTCTATACAAAGTGGGCAATGATACTTTTCCTTTCCTATTTCACAAGGTTGTTCTGAAACCTAAATTATTTATCAAATGTGAAAATGTTGGTCACATGTAAGCTTTGTGGTGTTTGGGTTTTTTAAGGATGTGTTACACTTTAATAGTGCCATTTTAAAAAATGTAGTGTAGTAAACACTTCATAAAAATTATACAAACCTATTTAAAAGTATAAAAAAAATGATTATGTAAAAGCAAACATAAATAAATCCTTACAGTCACAATACCTGTGGATAAGCCACTGTAAGAAATCTTTATCTGTATTATTTAGAGCTTGTTTTTAGATAAGATATAATCTTTGACCTTGTTAGTATTATTTGGCTAATGTTGCACTAGGAGAAATGTTGCTTGACTTAAAAATAGCACTAAGACTACTCAACATGCTAAACCTGGTACAGATCCTTTTGATTTTTAATATAATTTTCAGATTATTTGTTGAAGTGCAGAAGGGCTTCTCATCAAATTCTGAAGATTATCCTGTGTTAGCCACCAAATTGCAATCTTAAGTGAAAGTATATGCTGTGAGGTTTTAGATATTACTTTTTTCCAACATAAACTGATAGCAGAGATGGCTTTGACCATTATTTTTGGGAATACTGATAACTTTGCAGTTGTTTGTAACTAGGTAAGAACAGAGAAAATATCTAAATACAATTATTACATGAATAATTTAGAATTGCCTTTGTATTAAGGATCTAAGTACATAAAAGCAGAACCAAATAAGATATTTTTTTCTAACTACTTATATTGAAGGGATCTCTGGTGGCTTAGTTTCAGGAATTGTGTTGCAACCCAAAGACTACAGTTCAAATCCACTAGCTGCTTGGAGGATGAACAGTGAGCAATCTCCTTCCTATGTTGTTGTGTGCCATCCAATCATAGTGACCCTATGAACAAAAGATCTGAAACCAGTGTTGTCCTGCAACATTCTGACACACAAGAACCAGTTGCAGTGGTCACCTTGTCAGTCTACCTCTCCTTCGCCCACCCTCCACCATTCCCAACATCATGTCCTTCTCTAAGGAATAGCACTTCCTAGCAGTATCTCCAAAGTAAGTTAGGTAAAGCCTCATCATTCTTTCCTCCAAAGAGCACTCTGTCTTCACCCTCTCCAAGACATACCTACTCATTTTTTTGGCTGTCCATGGAATGTTCAGTGTTCTTCTCCAACACTACGGTTCAAAGGCATCAATTCTTTTTTTTGTCATCCTTATTCATTGTCCAGGTCTCAGATGCATAGCTAATAATTGGAACGACCATGGTCTGAATCAAATACACCTTAGTGCGCTAACTGACATCAGTACTTCTCTATAATTTGGAAAGATCCCTAACTGGAGATTTTCCCATTGCAATGGATCTCCTTATTTCCTCACTGCTTGTACCAAGGATGTAAATTGTATATCCAAGCAAGATGAAGCTGTTGACCATTTCAATCTCCTCTTCATCCATCATGACACTGTTGGTCCAGTGGTAAGAATCTTTGTTTTCTTGATATTGAGACACAATCCATACAAAAGACTGCATTCTTTGATCTTCTGCAACAAGTGCTTCAAATCCTTCTCACTTCCAGCAAGCAAGGTTGTGTCATCTGCATAATGCAGGTTATTGATGAGTCTCCCTCCAATTCTGATGCCACACTTCTCTTCCTAGAGTCCAGCTTCTTAGATAATTTGCTCAGCATATAGATTGAACAGGTATAGAGACAGAATACATCCTTGATGCACTCCCTTCCCAATTCCAAACCATGCAGTGTTCCCCTGCTCCATTTGCACAGCAGTTTCCTAGTCTAGATAATAGGTTCCTCATGAGCACAATCACAAGCTCTGGAATTCCCATTCTTCTCAATGTCAGACACAACTTATCATGATCCACATAGTCAAACGCCTTTACATAGTCAATAAAGCACATAACCTCTGAAAAATCACAGGAGAATCAGCTATGGTTAGTTCTGACTTGACAACACGTAAAACAGCAACAATATATATTGAATAGAATAGGGAACTCTGATGGTGTAGTTCATATTGAGTTTCACTGTTAACTTAAAGCCTGTGCAATTCTGGCTCTACTTGTGTCACTTTTCAAGATATATCTGTTTATTCTTTTGGCATTCCAAGGGATATTCAGTACTCTTGAGCACCACAACTCAAAGATAGCAGTTCTGTCATCCTTATTCATTGTCCAGCTATCACATGAATAAGCAAGTGGTTGACGAGAATCAGATGCACCTTAGTCTTCAAGTTGACATCATTGCTCCTCAGTAATTTGGAAAAGTCCCTGACAATGGACTTCCTCAATACTGCTTGTCTCCTAATCTCCTTACTGCTGGTATTAAGGGTGTTGCTGATAGTGGATTGAAGTAAAAGGAAGTCATTGACAATCTCAGTCTCTCCCATCTGTCATGAGGTTGCTTATTCCAATTGTGAGAGTTTTTGTCTTCATAGTGACTGTAGAAATCACTGTGGGCTTTATGAGGATGGCACAGGATGGGACAAGGTTCATATCTGTTGTTCACAGGTCGCTGTGAGTCCTGTTCAACTCATTGGCACTTAATAACAACAAGGACATTGTGTTTGAACTTTTGACCGAGTCAAATAATAGATTATTATAAAATACACATAGAATGTAAAGAAATGTAGCACAGTAAATACCTGTACACTTTTCACCTAATTTTATTTAAGAGAACAGTATGAGTAGAGCAAGTGAAGGAAAAAAAGTCCTTCTGTGTCCCTATCCTGAATTTTGTGTTTATCATTCATTTGCTTTCCGTATGTTTTAATTCTTTAAATAATGTAGTGTTTACTTTTGATGCTTTTAAAGTTCATATAAACTTTACAACAAATCACCATCTGTGTTCTTCTGCAACTTCTTATTCATATTGCATGTAGCTCTAGTTCATTTTTATTGTTTTCATTGCCATATAGTCAGTGAAGTAATAGATTGTTTTTATGCATTTTATTATTAATTGAAATATGGATTGCCTAAGCTGTTAAAATAATGTGAGCAATGTAGGGCTGGTTGCATCTGACCTCCAATAACTCCACAAGAGGAGTTATTTCCATCTACAACTTCAGCCCTACAAAATCAATTCCTATGAGGTCAGTGAACCACCAGTCTTATGATACTAGTTTTGATCACTAGGTTATGGAGGGCCTAGCAGTCGCCAGAGCAAGGAAACATGGTTCAGAATGAGAAAAAGAGTGTATCAGGGATGTGTCCTTTCTCCATACATTTTCAGTTTGTATGCAGAACAGATCATTCGAGAGGCTGAACTTTATGAGGAGGACTGTGGCATCAGCATTGGAGGAAGACTCATCATCAACCCGTGTTATGCAGATCACACAACCTTGCTTGCTGAAATGGAGGAGGACCTGAAGCATTTGCTTTAGATCGTCAAGAACTGTAGTCTTCAATATGGATTGAAGTTCAAAACAAGATAACGAAGATTCTTACCACTGGGCCAATTGGTGGCACCATGATAGATAGAGAAGAGGTTGAGATTGTTAACACTTTCAGCTTGCTGGGTTCCGCAGTCAACACTCTTGACACCAGCAGCCAGAAAATCAAAAGACAGATTACATTAGGAAAATCTGTGGTCAGGGATCTCTCCAGAGTACTGAAGAGCAGCAGTGTCTATCTGGAGACTGAGGTGCCCCTGATTCAGGACATGGTCTTCACAATTACTTCCTGTGCATAAGAAAGCTGGACAGTGACCAAACACGCCTTTGAATTGTGGTGCTGGAGAAAAGTAGTAAACATACCTTGTATATCCAAGAGAATAAGGTCTGTCCTGTAGAAGGTAAAACCAAGGTTGCTCCTTGCAAATCAAGGATTTTGATTCTCTGTCTGACATACTTTGGGGATGTTGCCATTCACAATGCAGGAAAGGAAGACC